TCGGAGAATGCATATAACGGATAACTTTTTCTACTCCCAACCAAATGGGAGAGAAAGAAAGCTGGGAAAACACACACACACACACTCCCCCCCCTTCAAACATAACAGGTACTTGAAATAGATGCCCCATTTTTATTTCCTTTTTGAAAAATCTTAAAATTCCTTAAAAATTGCAGTAAATTTTTATTTTAACACCCAAGCGCTAATATCCCTTCAAATTTTTCCCAAATAGTCTTATTTCCATGCAAATGTATATGCTGAACTCTAATAAACAATTAGATATTAAAGAAACCTACTTTTTTTGGATGTCAACAACCCGAAAAGAAATCTGACTTTTTCCTGGTCTTTCGTTGGCTTATTGATAAGTAATTAAGTGCTGAATTCTGTCGGTGGACGTATACAATTTGGGCCTATTTACTCCCTTCACAGTAATTCCTTGTAGTTAACTTTCAAATTAGGCTTAGGTGTCTTGTTTTTCGTTTTTTCTTTTGTTATTTGTTATTCTTTTATTTGTCGATGTTTACATATATTTGAAAGTTAACTTTCTTCTTAAATTAAGTACAAAAAAGAAATCGCTTTACAGAAGTGTGTACTAATTTCTGAAAGAAAGTTGTTCAGCAGTGACTGACGCTCAGGTGTTAAAATGAAAATTTACCAAAATTGCTTTGTTTACACTTCAGAAGTGAAACTGAGCAGCTAGGGGCTTCCAAGAAAAATACCTCTTGGTGAGGAAGGGTCGCTTCCTTAAAGGGGGAAGAATAGAGCCTTGCTATACTGTGACGCTCAGCAGTAGAACACTCCATATCAAATGGTGGTCCCTCCTAAAAAGGGGACACATGTTCGGTTGCTGCTGCAAAGATCACTATCTTTATTAATAAATTTCTCAAATAAGCAAGCCAAGAGATATAATAAACACTAAAATGAAAATGCAGCATCCATTTTGAATAGGGGTATCTACTATAATAACATTGGTGTAATAAAAATATCGGATGGAAAATAAATCCATTATTTCTTGAGAAAACTACATGGGTTTCCTTTTTGTCCATAGGTCTTCAAAATCTGCTTCAATCTCCCCTGCAATTCCATAAATCCCACAATATAGTCTTGTAATTTTTTTTTTTTTTTTTTTTTTTTTTTTTTTTTTTTTCTCCAACCCTAGTGAGAATTCTGATACAGCAGTTTGCATCTTCAACAAAGAGAAGCTTGTGATTCCTCTTGTCCGGTGTTTGCGTCCGGATGTCTATGGCTACCCACTTGTTTTGGCCATTGGTAAGTGTGACCTTTTCATGATGCCCCCATGGGTCAGTTTTCGACTTGACTGTATACTGTATTTAATAGCCCAGAATTAGGAGTGTGGGCAGTGATGAGTTAATGTTAGCTGATGTTGAAGTAATTAATTGGTAAACTATAACCAAAATAAAACCTGACCGGTTGATAACAGTAGCATAAAACACTTGGAGCAACTGAAGCAAAGGATTTAAAAGGTTTCCATTTTTTTTTTTTTTTTTTTTTTTTTTTTTCTTCCTCTCTTTAGAGAGGAGTGGGTGGGGGAGCAAGAATCCAACCCTGAAATATCAGTTTTGCCATAACTTTTAAGCACCAAGCTCCAATCTGTCATCTCTTGGATATTTCTGGGGTATGTATGTTTGTTTATTCTTTCTTGTCACCATGCAATACACAATGAAATTGGACATCAGTCCCCAAATGTGCACATATGTCACAGGATGAAGAAAAGTGATGCCATTTAAGATTGTCAGCATTCATTTTTCGTATGGGGCCCAAAGATAGTCTCTCTCGAACACATTTGTGCTAGAAGTAAAACCTCACCTGGAGGACAACAGATACCTGAGGTGTGTGCTTTCTTTCATGTTTTCTTCTCTGCTGTGGCAGTAATAATTAGAAATGCTATCCAAGGAGGGCAGTGAGCAGCTGATTATTTTATGTGCAGCATCTATAACCCTTTCTAGGCTTGTCTATTGCCAAGCAGCTGGCATACAAGACAGTGAACTCTCAAGAGAAGCCAGAGAAAGGACAGGAGTGCATGTGTTCAAAAGCCCTCAGTCATTTTAAGCTGCTGGATATGGATATCAACTCAGAAAATTAGTTTGTTAGATTCACTTGCACACAAATACATTTGGGGAAAGGTGTGTATCCATCTTTTCTCCTCCCAGCTATGGGCTGAATAGCAGGACAGACAGTTCTTTAGCCTTGGTTGACAACCAGTCTACTACAGAAATAGCAACCAACTGCAGGGAAAATTCTGCCTCGTCAGTCAAGTATTGAAAGATACATGGTCACCCAAGCATGTATCATGTTTAGCACTTAACTGACGGCAATTCTTATAATTGCCAACTTATAAATGGATGTTGTAAAAATTGACAATATTAGACATTCACCAGTATAAGATTTTGTATCGAATGTTCTGAATGAGTAGATGTGAAACCACACCCCAAAATAACCTTGCATATATTTTAACACATTTAAATATCATAGAGTAAATGGGAACGAAACTAAAGAGAATATATAATCTTGCTTCATGGAAACTCTGCCAAAGAGAATGGCATTTCATATCTGAAGATGTTGAGATTCGAACACCTCCCTTCCTTCGGGCTCTGATGCCATTATTCAAGTTAAAGGAAGCCACAAGAAATGTTAAAGATGTACAGACTCTACAAGAGTGCGCTGAACAGCAAGAAATCCTCAGTCTCTCTCTTCAATCAATTTGAAGGTCAGACCGTTACAGCAAATAAGGTAGGGTACTTTGCTTGGAAGTTCTTTCAACTCCACGTATCTGGAGTACCCATACTTGGTTTCTCTCCCTAGAATGGAGAATATGTGCATATGTCATTCTAAAGAAATGTACTTCCAAGATGGCTCCCGTTCTCGCTCGCCTCACTGTTTTCCAGCTTGTTGGAAGCCCTCCTCTGTAGTTCCTCTTTTTAAGAACCCTGGATAACTCTTTGATCCCTCAAATTATCACTTTATTAGTCTCTTACTACTTCTTTGAGGCTCTAATCGATGCTAAAGTGATTAAGCATCTTACTTCTCACAGCTTTTCTCTTTTGCCAGGTCTACTGCTGATGTGTTAATGGCCATCACTGAATTTATATATCGAGCTAATAGATAAGAACTGCGAAGCTTGAGCTGTGGCTCTAGATATTTCAAAGGTGTCAAACATGGTTTGGTATCCTGGCCTTCTATGCAAACTCCAGTCTGGTGTCGCAGGACAAATATTTGATTTTACTCCAATCATTCCTATCAAATTGTGAAATGAAAATCTTTTTAAATGGTCTCAATTCCAGATCCTGTCAGACAAATGCAGCTGTCTCACAAGGCTCTATCATTGGTCCTACATGGTTTCTGATCTTTTATCAGTGTTCTTCCTGATATTCTCAGTTAGGTGTTTATGCAGATGACACTACCATTTGCTCCAGTGTCTATACCAAATCAGTCAGATCTGACAAATTAAACCTGAGAATTGCTCTTCAAAAAGGACCTTCAGTCAGTCATGATATGGGACAAGAAATGGCTTGTAAATTTTAATGCCTCCAAAACAAAACTGTTTTCATATAACTCCCACAGAGAACCTTTTCTGCTTGCCATCAGTTTGGCTGATACTAGACTCCAGGAGAGCAAAACACTCTACCTTCTTGGTCTTGTTTTCCACTGACATGAAGTAGTGACTATATCAAATCAATAGTTACATCTGCTGCAAGGAATGTTGGGTTAGTTTGTCGTGTGTGAAAATTTTTCTCATTAGCATCCATCTTGCACATGGACAAATTTAACATTTGTCCCTGCACTAAATACTGTTGTCATCTGGTGCTCCTGCTGTACATCTTTTGATACTTGGCAGTCACTTTCTCACCCATGTGATATGGTTTCCCTCTGTCTCTTCTAAAAAAAAAAAAAAAAAAAAAAAAGCTTTTTTCCTCTCTCTCTCTCTCTCTCTCTCTCTCTCTCTCTCTCTCTCTCTCTCTCTCTCTCTCTCTCTCTCTCTCTCTCTCTCTCTCTCTCTCTCTCTCTCTCTCTCTCTCTCTCTCTCTCTCTCTCTCTCTCTCTCTCTCTCTCTCTCTCTCTCTCTCTCTCTCTCTCTCTCTCTCTCTCTCTCTCTCTCTCTCTCTCTCTCTCTCTCTCTCTCTCTCTCTCTCTCTCTCTTTCCATGGCTCTCTCTTTTCTCTCTCTCTCTCTCTCCACCTTCTGACCTGCTTAGATGAATATAAGCATGCTACTAGGTTGACATCTGTCCCATCCTTTTACTGTTGAATTGGTTAAATATAACCACCACTTCTGCTCCAACACTTTTTCTTGCACTTCCTGACAGAACTACTTCCATTTACTAGCTTCCTGTTAACTACGGTCTTCAAAAATTTAAATGCAATCACCATATTTTGTCTCGTATCTTGTTCATCCCCCCCCTTTTTTTTTATCTTTCCCTTTAGTTCCCTGTAACTCCTTGCATACTGATGGCATTCCGGCCTTCCTTGGGGTGAAATGATTAAAAAAAAAAAAAAAAAAAATTCTCATAATGAATGTTACTTAAAAATTCATTAAAGAGCTTTCCTATTTTAACATGCTGCATTTGGTTTCATTTATGTGAGGTGGTGAAAACTTTTGTCCTGTTATTTTTTGGGATGCATTCTTGCCTCTTCCTGCCATGTTCAGAACAGAATATCATAATTAGATCTGAATATGGCTTAAGTAGAGCCAATTTTCATTAAAAGAAATATATGCATTTCAAATTTCTCAATTGAGAATTTTGAACAGTACTTTATATATATATATATATATATATATCTCTAAATCAATATTAATCAGATATTTTACTGTTCGATATATCATTTATGATTTGTTACTTTTGCCTTATTTGCTTTTTTTCTCTCCCTCCAGCTAACTGTCTTCATGTTGTGAGTGAGAACAATCCAGAAATTTGTCAGTTTCTCAAAGGGCCAGAACCTCTGGAGATGATCAAAAACTTGATTTCAGCTCAAATTGAAAGGATGGATGCTCTCCTTTTGCGAACACTTTGTGCTGGTAAGAAACTCCTTATTGACCTATTTTGCACATTGTGGGGGGATACCTGGATGTAACAATTTTCAAATGAATCTTGACTTTTCTCTCCTTAGGCCTTCTGGTAAATATTCATGGCTCTGAATTGACACAGAGTGCAGTGAGTTTTTCAACTGCCGTCCTCTCAACTGTGGCTGAAGCTTTACAATTGAACACACAAGCACTGCTCACCCAAGCAGCTGAAAAGATCATAACAGTACAGGTATCTTCTTTTTTTTTTTTTTTTTTTCTCTTGTTCTTAAGCCAAGAAACGTAGGGAATTTAAAAAATTGTTTTATCTTAAATGCTTAGTTACAAGAATTTGGTTTGAAAATTTTTTTTTTTTTTTTTTTTTTTTTTTACCAACCAAGTCTCACTTCATTTAATAATCTTTATTAAATCTTTTAGTACTAGTTTTATTTGAGGTACAGTGTAACCCAGATATAAGAGTTGTCGGGACCGGAGAAGAAGTCTCTTATATCCGGGTTTCTCTTATATCCGGTTTTGGTACTGCTCTAATTTATATACATATATCCACACTTATAGGCTCTTAATTTGGGACACTGATGGAATAAATAAAATCTCCGAGAGAAGAAGTCTCTTATATCCGGGTTTCTCTTATATCCGGGTTTGGTCTATTTTATATACATTAACACAGGCTCTAATTTGGGACCAGAGAAAATCTCCCTTATATCCGGGTTTTCTGTTTTATCTTATAATTTGGGACCAGATAAAATCTCCCTTATATCCGGGTTTCTCTTATATCCGGGTTTGGTCTATTTTTTATCAAACAGGCTCTAATTTGGGACTAGAAAAAAATTTCTAATTATCAAACAAAAAATTTTAAAAAAATAAATAAATGTAAATTTAAATTAAAATTATCAAGAATAATTTGGGTCATTCTTTTGTGACAGTTTTAGGCAGATAGCCTAATGTAACCAAACCTTTAAATTTAATTTCAAATTTTTTTTTTTTTTTTTTTTTCTTTTTAGGCAAATGGGAAGAGTGCAGAAAATGACTATGCTGATAAGGTAAGAGGTTTGAGATGTGCATAAAACTTAAATGCCAATATTGCCACTTGAGAGCTAGAAGTTTTTACATATCTAACGTGATAGTGTGTTATTAGTACTTTACTTGGCTGCAATATTTTATCCCTTTCCCTATTAAATTCTAGCTCGGTGTTTTTTCATTTCGTAAGTGTGCTATGGTTGCATTGAAAACTCTCTCAAAGTATACACTGTAATTCATCTGATGAACTCTCTATTTTTAATCCATATGACTTTGGACCGAGCACTGTTTTCATTCTACACAAAGAAAAATAAAATAAATGAATGTAATGTCATTTGCTGCAAGTACATCCCTCTGCACCCTTGAATTGGTCTATGGAATTCATAGCATGGCACAGGTAAATAGTCTAAAGCGTTAATGCTGTGATGAGATCCAGTTAAAGTTGTTGGGAACAGAAGTTATAGCAGAATAAAAGAAAATGATCTGTATTAACATGATGCCCACTTGGGTGGACTGTCATAAAGACATCCCAAAACTTGCTGATTGAATTTACTTTTTTTTTTTTTTGTTTCGTTTTTGTTTCATGTATTTATGATATACTGTAAACTTTGAATGTAGATAAAGATGTGGAGCTGGCTGGTGAGTTACACATTTCCAATTTCACTTGTCTGCTATTGGGTCTAGCCATTACCAGTTGCAGGTGCCTTCTCTGGCACTTTATGTTCATCACTCGAAGCCAATGTGTGGTTTAGTGCTTTAGTTGCAGTCTCTGGGATAGAGTACATAATATTGCATAATCAACAGTTTGAATTAGGCGAGTAAACTATCACAATGACCTGTGGCTTGTCTGCCCAATTTCATTTACCAAGGCTTGATTTAATCCATGGATTTTCAGCCACTTTCCAACAGTCCCACATATTAAAACGACCTACCAAGGTCTTGGATATGAGCTTTATTCGTCTAAATGCAAATATTCCATCCAACCTTTAGGATGCCTCTGTCCCATCTATTGATTGTAAATTTCTTTTTTCATAGCCAAATGAAGTGAAAGCTGTGATTGATGAAATGGAGAACTTACTGAGGTCTCAGCAGATTGCTGTAGAAATTGCTGCCAATTTGTGTTGCACTGATGGTGAGCTTTGCTTTTTTTTCTTTTTTTTTCCCCCCTCCAACTCTTTGGCTCGACATACAGATGGTCTTTTGAAGATATGCGTAGTTGGTTTGTGTTCACATTATGCTTTTTTTTTTCTTTTTTTTTTTTTTTTTTTGCCTTCGTAAGATAAGGCTTGCTAGATATTTTGTGTAACCAGACTTTATTTTTAACCATAGATGATGAGTATGAAGAAATTGACAGTGAGGAATCTGTATCATCAGCTGATGAAATGGTCTGTGATGTTGAAATGGAAACTGAAAATGGTGCCTCTCTGGTAACTTTTTTTTTTTTTTTTTGTCCTGGCTTATAACCCCACAAAATGTCTGCATGTCTTCCCACCTGTCCAAACTACTTGATAAAATTCAACTTTAGCTCAAAATAAAATTATTTTCCTTTCCAGTCACCTTCTTGCCTTCCAGAAGAGATTCACCAGGCCTTTGTCAAGTTCAACATTCTTCATCATGTAAGAAATCTTTTTTTCCTCTTCTCAATAAGATGTGATTGTACTTTTAATTGTAATATCTTGAAATGTGTTTTTAGCTGTTCCTTTTGTATTCTCTGTAATTCTCTTGTACCAATTATGTACTTCACTAGAAGGCTTCTGACTTTACCCAATTTTTCATCACTAAAAACTTGCCATTTTTTTGCCTAACATGGACCTTCATGTCTACACTAAGACGTGTCAAAAGGATGGTTTCCCAATGACCCTGCTTTAATTACTTTTCATTAAACACCAATTAGAATTGTAATAAAACCTAAATATTGGAAAGTGAATTTATACAGTTAATGTTCTTTTTATGCTCAATCTTGTTGCAGGTATTTTGCCCTCTTTCTTTGATATTAAGAATATTGGATTTAAAAAAAGAAAAAATGGATTAATTGCTTATGTCTATTCCTCAAGTGGGTGCTCAACTGGTTTGAATGATGCACTATCCCAAAAAAGCTTTTCTGCACCTCCGCCTTCTGGGCAATGATGTTGACTAGTATTCCTACTCTCAAAACCATTTTCTTATTCCAAACTGCAATATCGATCTTTTAATTCAAATAAACATGTTTGGAAAGGTTCTTTTTGCATAGTTTCTCTGGATTTGTCATCTTCAACATTTTTGACTCCTTGCAATATTCCTCGTTTAGTCATTGGTCCCAACAAGTTAAGAACTCTTACTTAAACTTTTCTATCATTAAAGAAAGTTGTCAGGAAATCTGGTAGAATAATTTGATTACAGAAAAATTTTTTTTTCTGTGTGTGGGAGAATAATCCATCACAGGTGTTAAGAACTTAGTACTACTATTTTTTTTTTTTTTTTTTTTTTTTTTTTCTACTAAAGACTGTCAATGTCTGGATTTCTTTCCTGATTGTTTCAGGTTCTGAATAAGATTGAATGCCCAGAGTTACCTGCTGATAACCAGTTGCTGGTCACAGATGATAAACTAAAGAAAGGGTATGTTGTTCAGTTAATTTAGTGGTCATCCTTGTTTGTCAGTGTCACAAATCGCCTACCACATTGGGGTTAAATTTTTCAACTAAGATGCAATGTCATGTTTATTTTGTCACTGTTGCTACAATAGGGTCTCTCCTCCCAATCAACAAAAAAAGGTTCAGCATCAACTCGATAGTATTGACAATTTGGTTGATAAAATATTTTGACTAAATATTTTTTCTATGTGGTAATAATTGTCACCATTATTACAGTAATGGGCTTTATCCTGCCATGCTGACCCAGAGTGTCAGAAGTTTTACATATCTATCTTGACTGGCTGCCTTCTTGAGCTGAAATAGCACCATCCACTGTGTGTGATGGCAATCAATTTAAATGACCATCACTGACAAGTTTGATCAACGACAATGGCTTGTGAGGCTTGCAAGTGACCTACAATAATCATTGCAAGATGTGGCAAACTAAGATGTTTCGTACAGGCCTTAGCCTGTTTTGTGAAGTCTGTTGAGCTTGCTTGACATGCTCTGCATGTTATTTCCAACATAGTACTGATCATAATTTGTAATTATGTTGATGCAACTTAGGAACATTTGTGGGGCCCCATTTTAAAATCCATTTAAAAATTTGCCCAGCTCTATTTTCGCCATCTTGCTTGCTTTGCTTTATACTTCAAATATTATAGTGGGAATAAAACTTCCCTTATTTTTAAACCTAGTGGCATAAATTACATCTTTAACTATTTTTAACTTGCTGGTAAATAATTTCATAATTGCATTGTACTTCAGTATCTGTCTGTTTCTGAAATGAGGTATTATGTACATTATTCGAACTATTGTCCTCATCTTTGTTGCCATATTTATTACAACTTTTTGGCCATTGTATGCTCCAGCCTTCAAGTGGTTGGAATGTCGAACTGAACCCTTTATTTTGCTCACTGGAGAAGACTGTTCTAGTTCCACGTGCCATGTTTAATGGATATCAGTTATCTCCTGTTAATTTCCCTCTGAAATTTCTCCACTGCCAGATAACTGACATCCATTAAACATGGAACTAGAACCATTTCCCAACCAGTGAATGACAAAGGGTTCAGTTTGACATTCCAACCACCTAAAGAAGGCTGGAGCATACGTCTAAAACGTAATAAATATGGCGACGAAGATGAGGACAATAGTCCGAATAATGTCATTGTACTTGTAAAATATTCCAAACTTAAAAGGGGCTGTCCTTTTCTCATCTTTGAATTCCTAAGGAACATGTCAAAAATTAGACCTATCACCTTTATTCATAATTCTTATGCTGATCAGGCGGTAAATGTTGCTTTCATTCATGCTTAAAAATTTGAATTGTCCTCCACTAAAACCTAGTTTTCTTCTTTGAAAGTTCTTAAATCCTTAAATGAAAATTTGTTTTTCAGTGTCCATCAGTTACGAGTCCATGCACTTTTTACTTTGGCTAACATTATTTCAACCCTGGATCTAGAAGCCATTGGTGGTCCACAGTGTCTGTACGATATCTGCCATGGTCTTGTTAAGCTAGGAGGCTTACATACAGGTAAGCAGTTTCCCATTTTTTTTCTTTTGATCTGAATGTATACAATACAATGACCAGTATAAGCTGTGTGTGATCCACCAACCAAATATATTTTTTTTTTTTTTTTTTTTTTTTTTTTTTTCTCTTCATGGCTTGTTTTTATTTAACAGCCAGGAAAATCTAAGACAAAAACCCTCTTATGGCTCTTGTTTCAGGTGGTGACCTAGACCTTGAGTATGTCGAAGCAGTCAGTAGTGCCCTTCGAGCTGTTGTCCAGAAAATTGCAGAAAGCAAAATGACTAAGGTGAGTAAGTAAAGATGCAAGCAGGTAAATACCTGAACCCCAACAAGTACATATAGAAGTGGAAGAGCCAAGGATACTTATTCTGGTTGCCCAATCATCTCCACCACAATTGTCTACTTTTTGGGGATGAGCAATGCTGAAATGTGTCGCATTTAAGAATTCAAATTTTCCAAAACTTGAATACTGCACAAAATGTGTAGCATAACCAGGTCTGCATTCAGTTTTTATCCTTTAACATTTGATTTTATTTAATTTTTCTTCACTGATTCCAATTGATTCATATAACATGAATTATTGGAACCAGCTATAGCTTCCCTGATCATCGTATCTGTTAAATTAAGGTAAATCACAAAAAAACTTGTGCTTTTAGAATTGATGACCATTCACTGTGTGCAGTTTCAATCCTTGGAAAAGTTCTGGATATGTTTGTTTTTTTTTAGTTTTTTTGTTTTAGTTTTGTTTTTTTTTTTAGTTTTTTTTTAGTTTTTTTTTTTTTTTTTTTTTTTTTTTTTTTTTTTTTTTTTTTTTTTTTTTTTTTTTACACAGATCTGTGGGTACCCAGATTGTAACGTTACATAAGATCTCCAATTTCTGGATTGCAAAATGTGTTCTCGAATACATGTTAGGGTTCTACAAATGTCAATGTTGAAACTTTGCTTACCTCATTCATGTCTGTATTTTATATCAGGTCAGATGGTGTGTGGGTTTCTCTCTCTTTTTTTTTTTTTTTTTTTTTTTTTCCTAGGCTAATACTATTATGCTTTCCCCTCCTCCAGTCTTGAATATTTTTTTTTTTTTTTTTTTTTTTAATCCTGATATATTTTAGCAACATTTACATAGCTTGAAGTAAACTTGTTGCAAATTCTTTATATAAACTCTAAGGGCTCTCATTTTCTTTGTCGATAAAAATATTCTTTAAGCTTTATCACTCTGTATGCGATTCATTTGCTGACAGTTTATGCCACTGAAGGTGACTCTGATCACTGAACAATAGTTCTTGTATTCCATAGTTGTTATATCCTGCTATGACAACAGAAAACCACTTGAATGAAATTAAAGATTTTAATTTAGAGGCCTTAAAAAAAAAAAGAATGCAGTAGAAAGAGAAGTAATAATGCAGAGTACTAAAGGTTTAGCCACTATTTTGCTATTATTTCAAACCAAATCTGCATATAGTTCAACTTTTTTCATTTTCTTTTGTTTTTTTTCTTTTGATTTTTATTTTTTTTGTTTTTTATCCTAGTTTTCAGAGTTGATGTCTACAGAGTCCATGTCAATGTTTGAAATGATGCGACATTGTCCCCGTCATGAAATCAGAGTTAATGCTGTTCGAATTTTGTCTTCTATTGGAAGTGCTCTTCTTTCTACACCAGAGGCTTATAAAGATTTAAAGGTAACTTTTTAACTTTGAGCATTGTGGGATGAATATTTTTTTCTTAAGAGTGCGTTTTTTACTAATATAGGAATTTGAGAATTTTTTATTGTTGTTGTAGGAGTTTATCAGTCAATGTGACATGAACTAAATTGTTCCATAAGCAATGTCTCCTATTGTTATCCCAAAAATTTGCATGTCAGATCAGTTCTTTTAAATCAATTATGTGGTGCAGTTCAATTTATATTACACTGAATCATTCATACAAATTTTTGGTTTGATTCTACCTGGATTTTACTAAAAACAATTTCCATGTCTGAGGATGACTGAATGCACAGTCGAAAGTACTTGCATATTAAAAAAAGACCTTTATACAGCTTATAATTATTAAAAACAAGGATCATAACATTCATCAAGTGATTTGTAGGTTAATGAAAGTTTAAAATTGTTTGAAGTGATTTCACCATTTCATATCAACTTCACTAATCTATTTTGTGTGTGTGTGTGTGTATATATATAATTGCTATAATACTACTACTATTTGGGCTTTATTTATCGGGTCTAGAGGTCAACGCAAATCAGTTGAATCCTGCCAGGGGCACATATTTTCCTCCAACAAGATTCCTCTAATAATTAGTCCACTAGTTGGACATATAGTTTCATAATAGAAACGGTGCAAATATGAGTAACCATTTAAAAAAAAAAAAAAAACACGTTAATTTTGTATGTCTTGGCGAACAATGTTTGGCCACTAAGTTTTATGCTTGAATGCAATCACCAGGTACTTGGTCACTTTTTTTTTTTTTTTTTTTTTTCTTCCTTGTAAAAACTTGTTATATCCTCCCAGAGTAACTTGTGTACACATGTGCTGCCTTTGTTGGAGGAATTCCAATGCAGCCAAACATTCCCTCCCTCCACTTCCAAAGAAATTTGAAAATGCTTGGTAGCATGGGAACTAATAGTTCCTCAACAAAGTAACATAACGGTAAAAGCAAAATATTGCTTGTCAGTACTAGGCTCTCAAATCCCACCACTTTATTTATGCCTCTCATTTAAATAACTTGAAGCAAACAACTCCAAAAGGAATATGCTACAAAGGTACAGTGAAGAAAAATATCTCCATGCCATATTTAATGGCAAGGATTTTTTTTTTTTTTTTTTTTTTTTTTTAACAAATCCCCAGTGAGCTGTGTATGCACATAAAAAAAAAAAAATAATAGCTCACCCTGTGGATGCAATTCTGATCAAGCAATAGTGTGGTTTAATTTTGTGTTGGCATTGTCATATCCTGCTATGGCAGCAGAAAAATGAACTAAAACATGATTTTATTCAGCTGTGTGGCTACTTATCCAATGGATAAGGATGAAATACTTATGGATATTGCAGAATGGTAAAGCTTAATGAAAGTGAAACCTGTTAGATTTCTTATTTGTTATCATTTTTCTCAGATTCTGATCTCCTTAGTCTGATATAAATAACTGTACAACCTAAAAATAAAGACAGGAATAAAACAATGGTGAAGCCTGGTGGACACAACTGAAACAGCATTTTTTTTTTTTTTTTTTTTTTTTTTTAAACCTCAAAAAGCAATAGGTTTACTGGTCTCTTATTTTTGTAGCCAATTGGTCTGGCTCTTGTCAGCATGGCATCTCAGGACAAAGATCTTCATGTTGTTGCTGAAGCATTGGATGCCATTTTCGATATTTTTGCTGAAGACGATGTCAACCCAATCATGAATGAGATTGGCCTTTTGGATCAACTAAGGAAAATATTGGTTGCACTTAAACCTCAAGTAAGTAATGTAACTTTTTTTTTTTTTTTTTTTTCCTCCTTTCTCTCCATTGATATATGCAGTTGCAGGTTGGGTGATGCTGATGTTCACCTAATTTAATTCTATCAAGTTTTCCAATCAATGTACCTATTGTCAACAAAGTGTACAGGATTTATGCCTTTCAAAGTCCGTTTTCTTGTGCTATTTTATCTCACCCCCCCCCCCTCATGTTGGTTGGTTTGTCACTTATTTTCTTTTCAACCACCTATCCATAATACTGTGCAAAAAATAGAATTGAAAAAAATTACTAGTCTTGAACAGGAATTGCATTAAATTACTACTTTTCATTAAAAGAAATATTTCTACTATTGTAATGTTTGTCATTTCTTTCCTTTGCAAGGCAACAGCTTCTCGAGAAGTGAAGCGTAAATTCAAAGACCCTGTCATCAGCACTGCCAAGCTCAATTTGGTGCGGTTCATCCAGTACAAGTCAAATGTGACCACCCAACACACAGCAATGAGTTGTGACAAATAAAATTATTTTTATTTCAATTCAGATCTTTTGTTTTTGTTTTTTTTTGTTTTTTTTTTTTTTTTCCTGCTGTTTGTATCTCTGATCATTTGCATAATATAAACCACTGTATCGGTCACAGTACCACATAACTGTGGTCATATTGTGGTTACTTCTCTCAGACTCCCTGGCGTTAAGGTCTTGTTGCTTTTAGACATTTAAGCTGCTACTTCTTCATTCCAGCTGATTGTTAATTAGCCAATCTTAAGTTGGTCTTTGCGAGCCCATGTTGTGCTGTTTAGGTCCTGGTAAAGATCAATCTGCCAGATTGCTGAAACTAGAATTCTTTTTCATGTTAAAGGAGGGCAGAGCTGCTGGAGATTAAGAAAAAGGGTGTCGGGCATTGGAACAAGTCTTGACTGAACATCTTGACTTTGTTCAGAAATATTTCAACAGTGGTCATTTGAAGTTTGATGGTTGGACTTTATTAATTTCCATTGAGACAATATTTTTTTTTTTTTTTTTTTTTTTTTTGGTCATTCTCCTGTCTTCATTGATAAACTAATTTCACTGGCCATTACTGAATACAGGATGGCTGACACGTGTTCTTAAAGCTTCACAAATTAAATTTGTACAAAACTGAATAGGTTTCAAATACCTTTTTAAACAAACTTTTTTTTTTTTTTTTTTTTTTTTTTTTCGTCACATTAAAAAAAACGTTCTCATATTTACTGATAATTTTTATACTTTTTATTATTTATGGATTCGTTTCTATGAGGACTTATTTGCCCCCGGTGATCCAAGAGCAAAGCTGTCTGGAGTTGCAACTGCTGTGCAGGCCACCCATGTCGATAAGGTCTAAGGAAGGATCAGACTGAACACTGCCAACCACCAAAGGCCATAACAATGGAATAGGCAAAGACCTACGTGATCTCGATGGCTCTGCCAGTCAAGCTAGCATGATTAAGGCAGACCTTGACAGATCAAGCATCTGACAGCCTGATGCAATCAGGTGAGTTTTGGCAAACCTGTCTCTATCACCTTTGAGCCACAAGGGAGGTGCTTCTGGCCAAGTGGGTTTCTCCACCACCTAGAATTGTCACCAAAATCATTCAGACAAATAATTTTGTCAGTCTTTGATTCAAAGCCATCTCTGCCAGCAGGGGAGTGAATGGGAATGAAGATCCCGATTCGGGGACACATACAAGCTGCATAATTTGACGCTACAGCTGAAAAATCCTTCCCACTCTGTCGCAGCAAAGTTTCCGGCCAATGTATTCTTGTATACTGTTAGTGTTAAATTAGCATCGCTCTTGCAAGGGAGGTAACTTGTGAATTGAGTGCCGAATAAAGGAATTAGCTCCCTTGATATTGTCTCAGTGGGCTGAAAAATTAAATAGTTGCTGCTTCGTTATGTGGGTCTACATTTCAATCAGACTTTAAAGCGATTTATTATCAACAGATTTCGTGTTATATATGACTGTCAAGCAAAGTTGATAGTGCCTTATAAATGTAAATCTTTTTCATACTCAAATTTATACATATCTGCTCAGTTTCATATCCTAACATAAACAAGTTTATTAATCTGACATTTTAATCATTAATGTTAGTGGATCCCCACATTTGAGTAGATGCTCAGTTTATTTATTAAATAGTATATTTTTGTCTACTGGCCAGAATATTCAGGAATTTTTTTTTATGTACCCTTGAACAGAACTCAAATCTGCATCCCCTACCTAAAATATAATATATAATACACACATTTTTCTTTATTTCAAAAACAAGATTGATTAAAATGAAATGAGTTTGTTATATAAATTTTCCAATAATGTATTAAGTATTGTGCTTGAAGTAGTGGATAAAATTTCTGAAGTTCATGTTTTGTCCAAGTACTTTCAACTGTTGCAGTCATTATCAAAAAATCAGTGTGATGTCTGGTAGAATTCCTTCGTCTCTATCAGTCATGGCAGCAAACTGCAGCCCAATTGGCTATTTTGAAAGGTATATCCAATTTCATAAGGTAACTTTCTTTCTTTCCTTTTTGTTCACTAACACACACTCGTGCAATAGCCACAGATATAAACAATAATTACATGCATTACTTCTTGAATTTTGTATGTTTTTGTTGAAAGGTAACATCAGCATTTTAACATGTTACCATAGTAATTTTTAATAATGAATATGCTTATAAAACGCTTAAATTTCAAGTAGTTATTAAAAAAAAAAAAAAATCGCTTGAAGATGGAACAGAACTTGGTACTTTAATTCAAAAATTTATATTGAAGTTTTCGGCTCTTGTTTTGAAGCATGAGAACTTATGTAGCAATGGAATCATTTATATATATATATATAACATGTTTCACTTTTATTAATGCTTTATCAGATAATGAGAGGAATTCTGATATTTTTACTTCTGTTTCATTTTTAATGATTCATTATGTTCCATTTGTTAATCAAATGCTACTATCCATTTATGCTACTTACATTGTTTGGACTTAATGCCATCACCTTTACTGTCACATTCATGTTTCTGCCTTCTTCAGGTGATATTTGTTGGAAATTGTTCTAATGGCTCAGTGGATAAAAGCAGTGGTTTCTTGATCCCAAAAGTTATTTGACTCAAAAAAGCTGTGAGTTCAGTCTTTGGCCTCAATGAAGAGAACAAAAACTTTGAGAGTGATCAAGGTGAATTAACTAGAACTGAAATATGCAAAGGCATGGTATGTGTAATACAAAGATTAATCTTTGATATTAGTCCTGACCTAGCATCAGTTTCCAACCACCATAATGTACCTTGTTATAATAGTGTATTAAATAAGTGTAAGATTTTCTATTCCTCCTTTCTTTACTCAATTTGAGTTGTTAACATCTTCTGCTGATAAAGCTAAATGTTTCACCTGTAAATTCTCCTGAAACTCTCCTCTTGACTCATCTGGAGTTTTACTGCATAACTTCTTACCTAGAAGTCAGTCTCTGTTGAGTAATATGCATATAACCCCTTCTATGCTTTTTGCTATCATCTCTAAAAAGCATGTGAACTTGATGGTATCCCTGTAATCGTCCTTATGAAGTGTGCTCCTGTTCTCTCTAAACAAGTGATTTCTCAGCCTTTTTTTTTTTTTTTTTTTTTGGTGGACCCCATAATAGCTATTTGACAGAAGACAACAATATTCAATTTTTCACTAATAAAAATTGAGGTTTTAATAATCAAAGAAATATTGTATAATTAAGCTTTATTTTTAAATGAAAACTAATTTAATGCAAATAAATTTTTCTATAATAATAATTATAGTAGTAGTAATTTTTATTGACCGGTATCTTGTATTACAATATTTTTTTCCATGGTCAATTTATTTATGTGCACTGATTTTTAAAGAAAAAAAAAAATTTTAATAAACCAATTTAAGTGTGATTAGAAGAGTGGGGGTGTGTGTGTGTGTGGGGGGGGAGGCATATTTCTTCAATGAGGTCCCTGTGGTTGATGCTGCTCGGGGAGTTTCTTTTATATCTGGTTCGATCGATGTTAATGATCACCTCTTTTTACAATATCAACTCTATAGCAAACTGTTGATAACATTTGAGAAGCATGACTAAATCCTGACTCAACAAGATGTTGGAAAAACAAATTACATCTATGCTTTATCCCAAAGCAAAGTGTACTTTGTAGCAATATCATTGGCTTTCTTCCTGGGCCACTAAAATATCACTGTGGATGCCCAATTTGTTATATTTTGCCGATGGACCCCTGCCCCCCCCGGCTCATGTGCACCCCAGTTGGGAACTTCCTGCTTTAAATTGTACAGTAAGTGCCACACGGCTTCTTGCTTTCCTACCAGCTTAAAATCCTTATCTGTTCTAGTATTAGAAGTCTGGTGAACCATCCATCCCTTCAAACTATTGACTTTCTTTCTTTTGGGAGACTCCTAGAGGCCCTAATAAATGCTGGACTGGTTAAGTATCTCACATCACAGGGCCTTTTTGCAGACAAGCAATATGTCTTTTGTTTCTCCAGGTCAACTTCTGATGATAATTGCGGAAAGTAGAGTTTATCAAGCTCCAGATAAGAATGATGAAACCTGGGCTGTAGCTTTGAACATCTTGAAAGCTTTTGACAGGGTTTAGCATACAGGTCTTCTCCACAAGCTGAAAAGTTAGTGTCACCAGACTGATCCAATCTTTCCTATCAAATCATAAATAAAAGTAATCCTGAACATGATTTTTCCCACTATTTACATTATTCAGACTATTGTCCTCATCTTTGTCGCCATATTTATTGCGTTTCAGCTGTTGTACACTCCAGCCTTCTTCAGGTAGTTGGCATGTCAAACTGAACTCCTTATTTCACACACTGAGTTAGACTGTTCTAGTTCCACGTGCCATGTTTAATGGATATCAGTTATCTTCTGTTAATTGCACACTCCAAGTCCTCCACTGCCTTAACTGGGTATTGAACTCACACTCTTTGGGTCTTGTCACTGGATCTAACCAATGCCTTTATCCATTGTGCCATGTGTCCTTGTGGATAAATATAGTGACAAAGATTAGGACAATAGTCTGATCAATATAAATATTGTACATAATACCTCATCTCTGAAATATAGACAGATAATGATTCTTCCCGTTCCTTTCTTACTGCTGCAAGTGCCCCACCCCCCAAGCTCTACCCTTGGTCCTACTTCATATTTAATCTTTTATCAATGACCTTCTTGATGGCAGCTGATTATCCCAAACGGCCTTCAGTCTGTTATTAACTGGGGCAAAGGATGGCATGTTAACTTTAATACTTCCAGGACTAAACTGCTCTCTATTAATCATCTGAGAGACCCCTCCCTGACTTCCATCAATATGGCTGATGCTAACCTCCAGGAGAGTGACTCATTGCACCTTCTCAGGGTAATGCTCTCGACTGACATGAAGTGGAAAGACTATATTGAATCCATTGCTACATCAGCTGCTAGACAGTTTCTCTCCAGAATCTTTTACATATCTATAATTCTATCATGCCCATGCTTAGAATATTGCTG